ACTGGGCCCCGGCGCCCCAGGCAGCTGCAGCAGCTGTGACCATCCGGCACCGCCCTCCAAGAAGCACCCCAGCAGGGGCTGCACCTTGGGGGCTGCCCACACATAGCTCCCAGCGCCCCGGGGCCAGGCGCAGGCTCCGAGCAGCCGGGTGTGGGGCTCCTACCTCAGGACAGCCTCCGTGGGGCTCTCCACCTGCTCCTCCTGCAAGCCGGAATGCTGCCCCGGCAATGTGCTGCCCCAAGCACCTGCTTGTTTTGCTGGTACCTTGAGCCGGCCCTGTAGCCAGCTATGGTGATAACTAATTAAAGCTGTTTTCACCTTTCTGAAATGTCTGTAAAGGAGGTTCAAAACATAAATCTGAAAATCTCTTAAGAGTTTCTGCTCAGTAAAGAAGATGAGTAATCTGACCTTGGACTGGTAGAGATAGCTGAAGAATAGCCTGTTACATCCCCTTTCCAGTCATTTTACAAGTAGGTATAAGCATAGGCAGTCCCTTTAAACATAATGGAAAATGATTAGACTGATCTTGGTCACTAGTGTTGGAGGGTACCCAGGAGCATATTACAGTATTGAGACTTATTTGCGCCATATTTCCAAACTTTGATGGAATTGGGAAAAAATTACTGTTATCAGTAGATGTAAAGATAATGGTAGCTTCTCAGGGCCACTGATCATAGAACTGAACTCTTAAAGATAAGTTCTGTGGATATATATTTTACAAACTGGTTTGATTTTAAGTTTTAATTTGGTTAGGGAAGGGGTTGTTTTTGAAATTAATTAAACATCATCATCATCATCAATTCCTTTGAAGGTCAGACTTGGTTACAAATTCAGCTGCCATATAGGAGACCCTGATTTGATATCTACTCCCAGTCCTTACTATGCTGGCCAACCAGAGACAAAGTGTGCCTTGAATGGTGCAGTCCTTTGCTAGTAGGAGGAAATGATCATCATACATTGCTCAGTATGTTTCAGGTTGTTATAATAATCTGAGAATCCTGTCCAGACCTTCTTTTCTAGTAATGAAATGAATGGAGATATTCTGATCTCCTAGAACTGGAAGGGACTTTGAAAGGTCATTGAGTCCAGTCCTCTGCTTTCTCAGCAGAACCAAGTACCATACCTGACAGATTTTCACCAGATCCCTAAATGGCCTCCTCAAGGATTGAACTCTGAACCCTGGGTTTAGCAAGCTAGTGCTCAAACCACTGAGCTACCCCTATAGCCAGGGCTTGACAAACGGTGGCGAAATCTACTCTCCAGCCCTGCACTGCTCATGCGCAAGACCCGCATTGCGCATGCGCGTGCTGCTGGTGAATGGGGCAACTGGCTGAAATCTACTCACCACAGGCAATTTGAGTAGAAACTGCGATTTGTCAAGCCCTGCCCATAGCCATCACAGGGTCAAGGAATTATGGGGGGAAACCAAAAAAAAAAAAAGCATGTTTATAGCTTGCTGCTATTAGCACTGATTGCCTGATCTTCAGATGTGTCCCATAGAATGGATGTCTACCAGTTTCAGTTTTTGCTGGCTGGATCATTTTATTATAATAGTATAATAAAAAGAGGAAGACAAACTACTAGGACTAGAAAAATTTTTCATAATTTCTTTTCAATGTTCCTTTCTGTTGTTTGCAACACAAATGCAACAGCATGATGTTAGAGCATGGAGACTAGGCACTGAAAGTGATCATACATAAACCAGTCTAATTTCACTGCTTATACAGAATGAATTACAGAAGTAGACAAACAACACACCTGAAGAACACTGATGTTAGATTTTATTTTAATATCCCCAGCCAGAATGTTTCTTTAAATGTTAGTGTCCCTTTGGTGGTTGAAGTTCAGTGTAAGTATATGTACTATTTTTTTATTACAGTCCTACATGGTCTTTTTCCCCCTTAACCATCATTGATTTGCAGTTTAGTATTATTATTAAGCCATTGTTTGAGTCCTTCAATGAAATGGTGTCTACGACCAGCTTAGAGGACCGCTTGGCTGGATCAATATTGTTCGCTCCCTGTTCTGAGGCCAAGTAAGTAGAGTTCTAACTTGTGGTAATTTAACACTGTAACAATTGTTACCATACAGTTTCCTCTTCGAAATTCAGCATTAGAAAGGGAAGGAAAGTATAGTATAGGCTGTGATTTTTTTTTTCAAACCTATTGCATTGTTGCAGTGGAAAGTTAAGAATTATTGTTGCCAGTGAAATTCACTCTGAGCATTTCTTGTGCATTGCCACTGAGGAGAAAAAAAATAATGTAGCTTTTGCTTGTAAAGACTGGGGGATGAGGAATGGCAACAGACTTTGGCAAGTGGTGAGAGGAGAGGTTTGCTCGAGAAGGGAGCAGGTCTTTGGGTGGAAGCAACAGGTCTAGTAGTAGCCAGCCCTCAGAGCTACCAGAGTATGGCATGCTGCAGCCTCTCCCTATACACACACCCATAAACACAAACAGTCCTCAGAGCCACCGGGAGAGCATTGCTTAGCACTCCAGCAGTTACTTAAAGGACCTGGAGCTCCAGCCATTGCCTCTGTAATGGCAACAGTGACTTGGAGCCCCCGGCCCTTTTGAATCACTGGACCCTGGGGTAGCTGCTTCCTTTGTCTCTACCCCACTGGCAGGCCTGTAGAGACCAGAAACTAAATGTAGATTCAAGACACATTTTCATCCAGATTTCAGACACTCCTCAAATGATTAACGTGCAGGATCATCATGTGAGACTGCTGTAACAGGAAATGTATGTCAGAATGTGGGTAAAATAGCAGAAAACATACAGTTCTCCCCCAAACAATTCAGTCATACATTTAATTAGTGCATTTTTTTAACAAGCCTTGTCAGTGTGGAAGCATGTTCTCTGGAATGGTGACTGAAGCATTCTGTGTTGTAATGTAAATCAATATACAGTATTTGAAAATGTAGAAGAACACCCTAAATTTCAGCTGGTATTCTGTCGTTTAACAGTATGAATAAAGGTGTGATTAATTGTGATTTTTAAGTTAATCACATGAGTTAACTATGATTAATCTGCTGTAGTGTGTACTGCAAGAATGTCAGTGTCTCTGCATATTGCATAGATCATTCATCCCTGCTGTAAATTGACTGTGTTGCACGTGAATCTATTTGCAACCAAACTAATTGTTCTTGATTTTTTTTTTCTGCCCCTTTATTCCAGTGGTGCTGAACACCCTTCGGCATCTCAGTACAACCACCTCCATTCTGTCAGATCCATCACGTATGCCAGAGCAAGCCATGGAGGCAGTTTGTAAGATCAACAAAACAGCCAGGGAAACTTAACAACCATGAATGATGAGATGCCTATGTAAAATGTAACGTCCCAGCCTCACAAACTTGTGAGTCTCCTTACAGTTGGTGCACTTTAGAAGGATTCTCTTCTCTCATGTAGGACATTGTTCAAGCATTTTGCCTTTGGGCTCTGAAGGTATACAACTACAGTACAACATTGTTAATATTTGGTTCCTTCTTCACAACCTTTTAGTTTCAGTTAAAGTGAAAATGCCAACCTCAGATACCTAAGTAGGCTCGAGTGCTGCATTCAGCAATAGAAAATCTCCATCAATGAAGCATGAACAACCACACAGTGAATATCTTTGCATAAAATGACTTCAGGTACTAAACAAGGTGTAAATTCACTACACCTAGGAACAATTTGTTAAAGGGAAATTCACATTTGATTTCATAAAAGATAATGTGCTTTTTCATTTTATTATTTGGAGTTCATTCAATTTCTTTGTTGTTTTACTTGAACAATAAAAGTTGATAAAAAGAATGATCAACATATTAAAACCAAAGGAGAAAAATGTTAATCAAAGATTCAAAATTGTGGTAAAATGCTAGAATAAAAATCTCAGGTTGTGTATGTATCAGTTCAGTATATGATTTGTATGTTAATCATTTGGAGGGCATGCTTTATTTCGTAGCATATAAAGAAGCAGATTTTTTTTAGATTTTTTTTTCATGATTTAGTCAGTACATGTAAGCAGCGGGATAGTTTGACAAGTACAAGAGGACAACTTAACTTTAATTTGTGTGAATTCTTTACTTGTCTATATAGACATGAATTTTCATATAGGTTTAAGCTGCAAGCTCTTTTTTCTTATATATTGCAGAGTTGAACTTTTCATCATACAACATGTGCACAGATGATGCTGTAATGCAGGGGTGGGGAACCTAAGGCCTGCCTGCATGGGTCTGGCCTCTGAGACTCAGGGCTCCCCCCCAAAATTGGGGAACCCATGCTGGTACTCCAGCCCCTGCCACTGTGCCCCCACAGGGCTGGAGTACTCAAAATCTACAAACCTGGGCCTCCCTAGGCTCTGTGGGGAGTGTCTTTTTCCTTCTCAATCAGGGGCCACATCAGTGAGGATTTTTTTTTCTCTCTCATTTGTGTGCAGCCCTGACTGATTTTTCTGTGGGTCAGCAGCCCCCGACTCAAAAAAGATTCCCCACTCCTGTTGTGGTGCTTCAGAGACAGAAACTGAGTTTGTATTGCTAGGAAATTGGCATTTATGTTATCACAGAAATTAGATCAGTCCACGTGCACTCATAAGCTATCCTTCACTCCTATATCTTCTTTGCCTATTTTCCCTGTGTCAGAGGCCCTGCTCTCAGTCCTAAACTCTAGAAAGATTTAGGTCACAGTTATCAGTCTTTAAGAGGGGGCTTGCATCCAATATAAAATTTAAAACACAGCTTGTTTGATATCTGAAATGTGATCTAATTCACTGTGACTGTCCCAATAACTGACATAACTGTAGATGCGTCTAAGCATCACTGTTCACTTCCAATGTGCTCATCACCATAGTGCCAACAACTTCTGGCCAGCAGTAACCATAGAGACTCTTAACTCATGATTTGCAGACCTTGTCTTTCAGTGCCTTCTCCACTGCTCTTGACATGGAGGATCTGCAAAATTGACTTTCTTTGGTTGGAGCAAAGGTGGAGCCAAAAGTCTTTGGGTGTTTTTTTTCTTTCCACAGCACCTTGCCTCCCAGGGTTGTTCTCAGTCTGCATAGTGGGGACAGGATTTGGCTTGTGGGTAAAACGTTATTCTGCTGCATCTCTGTAACGAAGTCTGTTAAAAACCTGATCCTTTATCTCTAACCCCTTTGACTTGAAAGTAGAGGCACCATGTAAGGCTTAAATCTTCAGTCAAGGTTTTTATGCAACACTCATCACTGCAATATCTGAGCTCCTGCTTTTCAATGCATTTTGAAAAGCTAAATGATTTGTTGCTTAGCTACTACCATATAGCCACCTAAGAGGGGAGCTATCCTGTGCATTGCTAGGGAAATGCCTCGTGGTGTCAGCTTTCACACTGTTGGGCAACTCCAGTAATATGATTACTCATCTGAGCATTATTTTTGTTCCATTTCATTAATTAATTTCATCTGCAAAAAAAGTGAGCCTTTAAGGCATTGATTATATTTTGTATCTGATTCAAAATTTGAGATCTCAAGTGTTTAACAAAACTCTCAGGTCAGTTTTCATGGCAAAAAAAAAAATTAAGCACAACTTATTAATAACCCTGACAATTGCACTGCTTTCAGGAGAGGCGTTAGTAGGAACTATGTTAACAATCCAATTAAAGTCATGTAATAGCTTCCCTTGTTACTTTTCCTTCCCATGTCAAAAGCAAACTGCATTGAGATGGACAGGTCTAAATACACTGACAGTAGATAGCTAGAAAGTTAACTGCAAATAATTTGATATTATACATTCTAAAATATTTTCAGGGATTTTACATCAGGAAGCAATTCTTCACTTTATGTGCAGTATAACTTTCCATTTGGAAGGCCAAGCTTTCACAAACCACCTATGAAACAAACTGCAGGATTTTCCTGTCCTGAAAGTTTGCATCATCAATTTTTCACAGCTGAGTTTTTGCACATGCTGAACATCAATTGTTGTAGAAATGGCATCTGTGCATGCAAATTTAGAAACATTTTGCTACTCATTTATATACCTAAGTAGCTATGGAAAAGGTGCAGTCACAGCCAGTTGGCAACTGAAGGCCCTTTCAAATGACTTTATTGAAATAGTATATAGAGATGGTTGTTAAGCAATGAAGTGGCTTTTCTACATATATATACTCAGGTCTAGATATGCAATATAGTCTATTAATAAAGTAAGCAATAGTGTTTGGGATCCATCTGAATAAATGGTTCTGTATAAATGTAAGATCTTTTCTATTGATGTCTGTATTCAGCCTTCATTTTATCAGTGACCTTAACTTCTGTCTAACAAAATCTTTGATGTAGTGATTAGTTGGGTCCCCCCAACTTCCTCAATTTACATGTCTAGTTTGTTGATATATACGCATATCTATGTTAAAATGTGTATCCGGTTATTAGAAAGAAAATCATTGATAAAATGTTCAGGACTAGATCACTTTTCAGTGATACATTACAGATCAAATCTTGTTTCTTAGTAATATTTTTAATATGTTTAATAACTGAAGTTGTCTCCAGTCTGCATGGTAGATATGATGTCTGGTTCTTACCTCATCCCAGTGTAAAGTGGGAGTAATTGCATTGATGTCAATGTGTTGCATGATCAGAATCAAGCTTCCCCTCAACAATCAAGATGAATTAAGGAATGACACCTGAGAAAGCTCACTGAAGTCTTTCTGATGACTTCCAGGAGCATTGGATCAGGCCCGAAAGAGGTTTAGTTCCAACTCCCATTGAAATCACTAAAAGGACTCATATTGTTTGCACTGGTATCCTAAAGGAACATTAAAGGATATTGTGAGCTGCTTAAACTTAGCAGGATACCACATTTTTATCTAGAAGTCTGCTAAAAACTGTCGCGTCTCTCTGCATATCTGAACAGATTAAAATTGGACAGTTAGAATGCATCTCATTAGATTTATGGGAAATAGACTCTGAACAGTTATGCCTGCTACACGAAGATCAGTAGCACTTGTATCTGTTTTTTAATTAAAAATTGCTGACAGTAACAGCGGGAGGGGGAAAAGTGTACAAGGAAGAAGAAAAAAGTATACAGACTTTTTATTCTGTCTGGCACTTACCAGAAATCATCTTCTTTCCTAAATCTTTTGAGATGAACAAATACCTCTGACGCATAAAGACTTGAACAATAAGATCTTGCCCCTTAATGGAGGTTTCTAATTCTGAGAACCTTTTGTCACCTGATTTCTGTAAATGTGAACTCTCATTTATTTATGACAGACTCCATGTTTTATCACATTCCATCTAGTGACTGTGCTCTTTGGGTGTGCTGAAAACTGGACTGGGAGTTTACAAACCTTGGTTCAATTCCTGAGTCTGCCACTGTTTTTGCCGTATCAACATGGGCCTGGTCACTTCCCTTTGCCACAGATTCCCCACCTGTAATATGGGAATAATGATGCTTGCCCATCTATTTTAAAGTAGTTAGTAGTTCTGCAGAACTTTTCGTTAGATCTCAAAGTATTGTTATGAAAAGACAGTGACCCAATTTATACCGAGGAACTATGGTATACATTTCTCTCATATAAGGTTGAACCTTCTATTTCTTTTTACCAACTGTGGGGTTTAAATAACACATTTCTCAAAAAGAAGATTTCTGCCAAGAGTAGTCACACTCTTCCTCAGCTTAACAAGTTCCATCTCAGTTCTCTTTGGCTCCAAACAGATGCAGTCACTCAAGCGCACCCCAATATCTGTCTGCAGTTTACAGAGAATTTCAGGTGATGCTTGCCATCTACCTTGCCTTCAGTGGCGTCCTACTGTGCATCTGGTTCCCAAACCATCTGTCATGCTCAGATTCATTCTTAGCTTCCCTAAAACATAAAATCTGCTTTTCTCAGACCCAAATTATGGGGCTCAGTACAGGGGTACCCAGGTGAAATAATGACCTGTGATATAGTGATTTTCATGGTCCCCTCTGCCCATAAACTCTCTACATTCTGAACCCCAACACATCAGCTGTTTTAGCTCTCTTAGGACCTTGTGCTCCCTGCCAACAGTGCAGACATGGGCAGCAAAAACTAGAAACTAGCTGTGGTTGAGGGAGCAGGAGTGCAGCAGGGTTGCTCTTGGCAGCATGATCCCTTCGCAAAGCTGTTGGGATTTCTTTGTGGGCAATAGTGAGGCTCTGCCATGACTTTCCAGTCTCCTAGAAGAAATACCCCTGAAGGAAGACTTTCTGTATCAGTGGCGTGAAGAGAGCTGCGTGGCCAGGCATAGATGTTCTGATTCTGTGCACCCCTGTACCTGCCCTTTCTCAGTGTTCCAAGCCCCTGGAGATTTTCTCACAGACCTGAGGCAATGTCTGTGCAGCAGGCGTGACAGTGGCACAGCTATGGTACTGTAGCTACACGGCGGTAGTATAGACCTTTCTTATATCGAGAGAACGGGGTTTTCCATCAGCATAGCTAATGCACCCCTTGGAAAGCCAGTTGCTAAGTTAACAGACATCATCTTCCGTCAACCTAGTTATGTCTGCACTAAGAGTTAGATCAACTTGACTGCATCACACAGGGCACAAAATTCTTCGTAGACCCAAGAAATGTACTGAGGTCAATCTAATTTGTAAGTGTAGACCAGGCCTAATTAGAACACTACAGGTTTGGTGTGTCTCAGTTCAACAACCCCCTCCCAACAGAATAATATAGTGAAGCTTCCAGGGCCCTGTGTGGTTTTCTGAGTAGGGGATGATCTGGCTCTTAGCATTCGGAATTCTAAAAAGTACTTGGTTTTTGGGAAATATGCACAAAAATGTCCTGCTGCTGCTCATAGTCTCTAGACAGCAGCTTTCTGCTAGATCTCTAGGCATCTGCAAGTGTTTGAAAAGACTTGCCATCTGGAGTGAATCCATTTAGTTTTCAGCCCAACAGTTTGACATACTAGTATATGAGTTTGGTTTTAAAATCCAAAGCCTCTGTGTGTTTTGGCAGGGGTCTGAGAGTTGTACCAATATTTCAATGCTAGTGGCATTTCTGAGTAATGGCAAAAATGTTCAACTCATGAAGCTTTTGTAGTTCAGATACCTGGAAAGGAGTTCCATCGTTTCTGTCCATTGTTGGGGAAGTTAATTATTTCCCTGCTAGTGCCGGTTGAAAGCTACTTTTTTGGGGGAGGGAGGGGAAATTGACAAGTCAAGTATCAGGACAGTTTTGAATAATTTTTCTGGTGTTATCTACATTATATTTTCAGTGCCTACCGCCACTCTTGATTATACACCAAGATAAAGTAAAACTATACAATTACAGTTGCTGCTAAATCACATGGTCTTTGGGGCCTGATCCAGCAAGTTGCTGAGTGTAATTCTTTTGACCTGATTAAGATATTTGGCTGTATAAGGACTGCAGCATTTGTCTGCCCATTGCTTGCCTCCAGTAATTTCCACTGTGGGAGGGACATGTATTTCATAAGAGTTTCCACAGTAAAGCCCCTCCTTCTCTTTGCCCTGTTCCCATTGACTGTGGGGCACCAGCTCTCCATTTTTCTTTCTTATTAAACATGTGTCCTGCAGTTTTGTATTGATGGAGTGCAGGCACACCAGTAGGTTTTAGACAGATCAGTAAAACCTGGTATGGTTACAAAGTCATATACCAAGGCATTTTAATAGAAAGGTTTCATGGCTGTTGTTTGAATTGCTTTTATTTCTGAACTTAAGCACAGTTCATAAGCACGAATAAAATGTTAAGACAAAGTAAATCAGCATCAGAAGCAATCCTCTTCTGAAATGACACATTGAACAAATTGCTTCCTGTGCTGCCATAAATATTTGCTACCCTTTTTTAAAATAATGGATCTGATATTTTTTTGTTTGTGGTGTTATTTAAAAGCTCAGAGGAACAAGGGCTTCAGATGTACTCTTGTGCTGGCCTTGTCATATAAGTTTTCTATTCTATTGTGTGACAACTTCTATTGTGCTACTGGTATGTAGCATTTTTCAAGCAGCTCTGTTCAACTGTGCAATGCAATTTTTTGATATTTACAACCAAAACAATAAATGTTATTTTTTGGAAAAAAAAACTCTCGTCATTGTGTGCTCACTTTAAATGTTGTACTGCCAGAGGGAACAGTTCCACCCACAAAACAAGCTCCGTCCACATGAAATGCCACTCTCCATAGTTGTGCAAATTAGGGATGTAATAGTGTAGTTGATTAACCGATGACCAAAAGCTTATAGGTTAATGCTATAGACTACGCGCATTTCCCCTCTCCTGCCAGTAAATTTTTTAGCAGACTGGCCAGCAGCCTGGCCCAGTCCTGGCTTGCAACGGGTCCAGGACCTACCCCTGCTCTGCATTTAAAGTGTTTTAGGAGCCAGGCAGGCACCCCGATTTAGTCCTAGCTCACTCTGGGTCCAGGACCTACTCTTGCCCCCTCCCCCTTGCAGCACTGCATTTCAAGTGTATTAAGAGCTGGGCAGGCAGGCAGCCTAGCTCAGTGCCAGCTCGTGCTGGGTCTAGGAGCTCAACACCCACCCCAGGCAGGAGCTGCTGCCTCTTTCTCAGAAGCAGCAGCACAGGGTGACAGGCAGCCAGTCCATGAGGGGAGCTGGTTTTTAAACTGGCTTCCCTTGCGGTGCAGTTCCCACCCAGAAGCCCGTGCTGCTGCTGCCTCTGATACACTGGCTGTTTGCTCCACACCCGGAGTCTATAGAATAGTTGACTAACTGATAAAATTTCATGAGGTTACTCGACTATTCGGTTAACCAATATTTAACATCGCTAGTGCAGATATGAACAAGCTCCCTGAGTTGCTTGGGCTCAGCTCTCCCAAGGAGGCTTGACTTCTCCTTGTGCTCAGAGCTACTGGAAGTTGGCTGCTCCTTTTGTGGGTTAGATGCCACTGGGGCTCTGCTGTCCTGTTGGGGCTTGGCATCTTGATTAGAGGGGGTGAAAATTACAGTAGCTTCAAACACTATTCACTGGTGGTACCAGCATGAGCTGAAACTCAGAATAGATTGTATAGAACTTGTTCAGAATAGGGATCTTAGTGTAGTCATTTAAACAATTAACCAATAAGGCTGGGCTTATCAGTTTATCCAAACGACTACGTGCACTTCTTCTTCGAGTGATGTCCCCGTGGGTGCTCCACTACAGGTGTCGGGCTCATCCCAGCGCCGCAAACTGGAAAGTTCTTGCTAGCAGTAGCCCCCTCCGGAGGACCACGCATGTGCAGAGCGTCCCGCGGCGTTCGCGCCTTTTCTGCGTCGCGCGGTCCGGCACCAGTTCCTCCTAACTGTCCACGGCCGCAGACGGATTTGGAACACGCTCCTCTCCTGAGGAGAAATCGCATTGTTATTACTGTATTCTTTCCCAGTTAGCCCCTTCCTACATAGTGTTAGTCAGTTATTGTCTTAGATTAGTTAGTTAGTAGTTAATAGTTAAAAATAAAAAAAATTCCCGTTATAACCCCTGAGGGCCACTCCCAGTTATTATCATAGTTAGTTAGTTGTTTTAAAAAAAAAATTCTCTTTTGCAGTTATAATTACTGAGGGCCGCTCCGACCAGCACCTCAAGTTGTTTCTTCCCTCGAAGACCGCCGCACTAAACATGCCCGGCTCTCCCAGCTTCAAGAAATGTGCCTCGTGCGGCGACACCATGCCAGCCTCCGATGGCCATTCCCATTGTATTTGCTGCCTGGGAGAGGGCCACATCCCCCAGAAATGCGGTTGCTGTTCGAAGTTGACCAGTCGGGCGAGATGGGATAGAGAAATGCACCTGAAGATGTTACTCTTCAATAAGGCGCTTCAGCCCCCGTCAATAGAAGAACAGAAAGCTTCAGTCCCACGTAAGTCCAGGGACAGAAAAAGCTCTGCTCCACCCAGGAGTGTAAGTGCAGGAGAGGCACAGAGCTCATCGGGCTTCCTTCCCAGACAGGGAGCGGACAAGTCAACCAAAGCCCACGTTTTCAGTATTCTCGGTACCACCAGGTCGTCCGGAATCGGCACCATCATCTGCGACACCGAGTCTCCGAGCAGCACTGCAGCCAGATACAGTGCGGTCCGAGGCACCGAGGCACTCGGCACCGTTGCCTCATGAACGCTCTCAGGCTAAGCCGGCACCGAGAGTGCCAGTTCTCAGTACATGCCAGTTCCCTGGAGCCACATGCCTTGTCCCCACCCTGCTGCCTCCCATAAAGGCGGCAGAGCAGTGGGAGGAAAGGGGGCAGATGCTGAAGCAGCCTCTGTCCATG